CAGAGAAGACCCAAAGAAGGTGCAAAGCTAGAGTGAGATATGTAGGTAAAATGATCGTAAGACAATTTTTTATGTGCTTTACATTTATAGGAATTCCTCAATTTTCAATATTTATTAGATTATTTTCTATGTTGTAATCACCCTTTTTTCCTTTATGGTAATGATTCCCATGTCACATCTATTTGCTTTAGAAAGCTAGTGATATGTGGTTATTTTTCGTGTGATGGAACTAGCCCATCCAGAATTATGAGAGCACCAATGTTTAGACTTGACATTGGTGCTCACATAATTTGCAATTTATTTTAGATTTTCCGGCAATGTTCGTTAAGTGGGAGGAGATGTTCCGTATGTGTGTATATATTAGCATCTACAATTGAACTATGTTTAAAAAAAGAGTAAGTGATCTTAACATGTACTAGATGACTCGCCACGCAATTTATGAACAACATATTTTATGAAGGATCAGCAAGGGGGCAAAAAATAATGCAATCGATAAATCAGACGAACTATTTTAAGGATGATTTTCGTAATTGTTCGCAAATGATTATGTTTGTATTGAGTCTGCATTAACCTGTATTTACTAACAACAAACAACGATGATCGATTCTCATGTCTTTTTTTGGCAATACATAAGCTGTTTGCTTGAGCAGGTGAATTGAATATAAGAGAAAAATTCATACTCCAGTTGGGCCGATAAAAAACTCACCCGCATCCCCATGGCAAATGACCTAAACCATCGGAACCGGACACTCCCGCCCAGAACCACAACCATGCTATGAAGAGGGGCAAAAGCAAAGACTTTGGTTTGAATTCCAAGAATAGATCCGAAGTCAAAGCAATCCCAAATTTCTATAAGCGTCTTGGCCACTAAAGATTTTCTTCTGGTGCTACTGAGCTACTTGGAGTTATTCGTGCTCAAATATCAAACCAAGATTTAACTGGCCAGAAGCACCGATCTTTTTGTTCTGGAACTACTAGCTCAAACATTCCACTTACCAAAATCTTTTGTTTGTTCGACACTTTCGAGCATCACATTTCATCGGCACTTTTGAGTCATCTCGACTTGCTTATCTTTCTCGCAGTATAAGCCTCGTACATCCACTTGTTTTTTCTGATACTTCAGAGATGTGACTTAACTATTTTCTGCATACTTTCTCAAATCTTGCAATGGTTCCTTTTTGTGTGGTACTAACAAGCTATCTGTTTTACTGGCACTTCTGAGTCGTTCTATCCAATAGAAAAGGTGTTATCCTTTTTGTGTTCAGAGCCACCAATCATTTTCAATCGGTACTACCGAGTACTATATCTGATTTATCTCCACTACCTTGGACATTCAAATTTATTTTATTTGGATCAATAGTTTTGTTGGTTTTCTACCAGTGCTTCCAAGCCTAGGTTACTTTATGTGTAATGATTAGATTTTGGATCCCCTCTCCTCTATATATTCTCTACCATACCCCTTCGAGTTGGTAACCCCCAACAACCACCTCATCTATTTCATGTCACCCATTTCACTCCTTGCCAACTACTTTAGCCCACCTCATCCATTGCACTATTCATCTATCAACCACATAGAGAAAAGGAGGTCCAAGGCAAGAATAGGAAAAGGAAGCATTGGGTGATTCCATGATTGACTTCTTAATTCTTTGCCAGGGAAGAACTCCCCCTTTCTTGAATCCCTTCTCCTCAAGATCACCTCTTTCACCATATCCTGATCCTTTGTGTTTGTGAGAGAATGTTCCTTTGGATTCTTGACATACGCTTTGATTGCAACTATTTCAAGGAGTTCTTTCCAAGTGACTTTGCTTTGCTTATTACTCTCAACCGTACCTCCTTCTTACTTGCAAGATTGTTGCTTTCTGGCATGCTACTCTTGATATCTTGCATGTTAAGTTCATTTGGTAGTCTAGTCCTTGTTGCTTAAGTTAAACCTGCCAACCCTTAAAATGGAAAATAATTGTGACATGTCATGTCCAAGAACCAGAGCCTGTGATTTCATTCTAAGTGTACTTACTCTGTACATAAAATTATGTTTTCCATTGCAACACATGAGCTACTTACCAGTATACAATTATTTCTTAATTGCAATTTCAATCATCTCACATATACAACTATTTTGCAATTTAAATTTTGACCATCTCACACGTACAACTATTTTGCAATTGCAATTTTGACCATCTCAAGATATACATGTTGTTTTCACATGCAAATAAAATATTGAAATTTGCAAATAAAATGTCTTGGCCGCCGGTTCAACAACTTTTGTGTGTGGTCGATATCACGCTAAGGAGCTGTCCTGACAATGAGAAGCAGGACATAGAGACGAGACAAATCATGATGACATGGACATAGTTAGTAGGGAGGCGGTAGGAAGTCAAGGAAGCAGAAGGCCAAGGGGAGCAACCGAGGACTAGGAGACATGAGGCATGTGGCCGACGGTGATGCCATGGAGGGCAGTGAAACCAAGGACGTGATGGAGGGCGGTGAAGGTGGGGGCCATTGTGGGCAGCCCAACTGTGAGGCGGATAGGGGGCGGGGAAGTAGAGTAGGAGGTCTACTGGAGAAGAGGAGGAAGCTAGCGTCAGGCATGGAGCAGTCGAGAGTCGAAACAAGGGAGGGCTGAGAGTTGAAATTTCCCTCTTGGTTGGTTGGGTTTTTTGGTGATGGCCTCTAAAATTAGGTTCTATGGGAGGAAGTTTGGATGTCCAAGAGTTGTAGGTGGTAAGATAGGTGCCTCTTCTGGAGCACGTTTTGGGAGTGCATATTGTTATTTTTTACAGGGAAGTGTATGGTTTGTCATTATAGTGTTGGATTAGGCTAGTCGAGTTCAATATGGTCGTTCGTGATTAACTTGCCTTTTTGGGTTCGTGGTAGAATATGGGCTGGACTAACTTTACGGGCACCCCAACAGACTTATAGCGCGGGTAATACAGGAAAAAACACCAAAATGATTAGTAATGGGCCCACTCATATGGAACTCAACAATACACAAACATTTTTATAACAATATTGTCTGAAAAATATGTTCGTTTCACTAGTTTTATATATCCAATGAGCGAAAAAAAGTTATGTGTTGCCAAAAGAAGCTCACATACTACATGAAACTATAATAGAATTTCAAAAGGCGTTTTTATATATTTTTATTTATTCTGTATGTGAAGAGAAGTGTTCAATAGTGGTAAGAAAAAAAATGTCCAGGCATATGAATATAAATGGTCGTGCATTTAAAATAATAATTGCATATATAAAAAAGTATTCATGTGTCGCTATATTTTTCATGTTTTGAGAAAGTGTTCGCATGGTAATGAAAAGTGTCCATGTATCTCTCAAAACCATCAATCTATTTTACCCAGAAAATAGAGAAGAAAAATGAGAAAGGAACAGCAAAAAGGAAAATGATAAAAAAGAAAGCGATAATGCGCCCGGCCCATGTGGGGCGATTTGTCCCTTATATGGCGATATAAGTGCTTGCCTGTTTGGGGTCGATTCCCTCCCGCCCACTTGCCCGTCCGCTTTCAAAAAAAGTTGTGGCGCCAAGTCCGGCCTTATCAGTTACCACTTACCAAGGCCACAAGAGTACATGAGAGTGAGCACTGCGGCCACAATCTACCACGAATGTGTGCGTCAAATGGCCGCCGGGGTGGATAAGGGTGATCTTCAGCACTGTGGTCCAGCGGATATTATCTTGGAGAGGATGGCAACAGTTCTTGTTTGAAAGCTATGCAGGTTGTACTATAAAGATCGTCAGGGTTAAGAAGAAACGTAGTACGATACCTGAGTAGTGCAGAGAAGGTGGGTGATCGAATCGACCTGGCTGCAGCAGCAATGGCTGCCATTGCCGTCTTCTCCCTGCTGTTGCTCCTCTCTTCTGCTCCTGCTGTTCTTGGCTTCACGAGGAGCGACTTCCCGCCGGAGTTCGTCTTCGGAGCCGCCACCTCCGCATACCAGGTAACGAATGATACAGATTAGTACCGGCTTGAACTGGAATTTGTTTTCTTGCACATATTTTATACGAACGGTTATGGACCCTGCTTCTCATGTAAACAAAGGAAACGAAAAAAAACAGTTGTTCATTGGGGTCCACTGGCTCTAACAGGGAAGCCTAACAAGATAACAACCACACAAACATAATTTTTTTTCCTTGCTCATTTTAGTTAGTATGTGCGACAATGATGTTTGTATGATATTCGTATGTGCGACAATGATCTTCATTTCGAAAATTGATTTTATGTTCATATGTGCAGCAAAACACTAAGAAATAACTCAATATAATTTCATAAGAACCGAATTATAGGGGCAATACAGACTTATCACCGAGTATATCAGAAATTAAGGTAAAGCGATAGAAACTGAAAAGAACAGGATGGCTTATTCTAAAGCGCTTATTTTCACGGCAATTTTTCTTCTTCTAGAATACGCATAAGCATGTTTTCCACTGCAGCTTATGTATAAGTCACAACTCAGAAGAACTACGCCTTAGCAAGTTTATGAAAACAACACCGTTAGTTGAAAACCCGTAATCTACACATTAGACAATCACGGAGTTGAGTGATAAATCCGCCACTGCTAAGCGGGGTTGAAACGGTTCGCTTTCTCCTCGTTCTCGAACCTTCAAGCGCCTCCCCCGATTCCCTAGTAGAGAGAGTGAAAAACCAATCTTACAGCTAATCTACATATCTGTCATAGCTTGGTGATTTTGCAGCTCACCTTATAGCTAGCTACTGCCTTTAGTAGTAGGAATATGATTAGACACTTATAAGCACAAATTATGCTGACACAGTAACACCCGACCAGGCACCACCCCGTCCCTGTCTCGCCCGTCTGGTTCAACCGTTCGGTGTTAATGGACCAGCCTCGTGACACACGTGGTTTGTTCATTCGTTGCTCTCAAAAAAGAAATGACCCATCGGCCATCACTGTTTCATCATGCATGATGAGCAAGGCCGCCCTATAAGCTGCCATGGCCACGAAAGCACATACCATCAGTACAGCCCGCTTTCATGGCCTTCTTCTTCTTCCAGTTCCTCCTGCTCCTGCTTCTAGCCGCCGCCCATGGCGCGGCCCCTGTTCTTGGCTTCACGAGGAGCGACTTCCCGCCGGAATTCGTCTTCGGGGCCGCCACCTCGGCATACCAGGTAAGGTAACGGACGACCCAGATTAGTTGGGGCTCGAACTGAATTTTGTTTTCTTGCGCATATTTTAGTCGTATAAGGCTCTGGGCCCTGCTTCTCATCTGAACAGAGCAAACAAACCAACGAAAGCAAGTGTTCGCTAGGATCCAATCCACCAGCTCTCACAGCGAAGCCTAACAAGTCAACAACCACACAAGTAGATTATCATTTCCTGCTTGTTTTAGTTAGTTTTATGTGGCTCTGGTTATTTATTTTTCAACTCGAATGTGTGGCTCTGGTTTACCTCTTGCGCATTTTAGCTGGCCTCTCTTGCTCTGCTTCTCTGGTTAATTTGCTCTGTTTTTCTTTTATGCAGTATGAGGGTGCCGTGGCTGAGGATGGCAGGAGCCCAAGCGTCTGGGACACCTTCACACAAGCAGGTAACACACTAATTAACCTGTTAGTTCTGCCTAAAAAAAGCCTTATTGTCGGTATCTGACCAAATTCAGGGTCCTGGTAAAACTTTGTTTGACAATATTCTCCTGCTGATGACAGGGAAAATGTCGGATAAAAGCACAGGCGATGTCGCTGCTGATGGGTACCACAAGTACAAGGTAATCATGGTTAAATTTACCTGGTGTGACTTGAATTCCTTTCCCTATTAATTTTATCTTACAGAATCCCACAAGAAAAATTATATCAGAAAAACAAACATATTATACTCTGTTTTGTTGTGGTTGAAGTTTCTCAATATTCCATAGACGGAGAGGATTAGGTTGTTGTACACTAATAATGACATCACCTGATGTTTCAGGATGATATCAAGCTCATGGTTGACACTAACCTAGAGGCTTACAGATTCTCTATCTCCTGGTCAAGGCTTATACCAAGTATGAAAGCATTCCACAATATTTCTGTCGCAGTACTCAGGAAATTTACATAAATGTTTCATCTTTGATTTCAAAATTGACAATTACAGATGGGAGGGGGACTGTCAACCCAAAAGGTTTGGAGTACTACAACAACCTTATAAATGAGCTAGTGCAACATGGTACGGTTATTTGTACTAAACTGTATAAATTATCATGCACTGACACAAAAAACCATCTTTCAACTATATCGTATATGCACAACAATGACAAATCTATCATAGTTGACAATTTCTTTATTGTTCTTCTTCATTATCTCGAGTTCTGAATCTGTGTGGCCTTCACGATTCTTTAGGGATTCAAGTCCATGTTATGCTTTCCCATCTCGATTTCCCGCAAGTTTTGGACGATGAGTATGGCGGATGGTTAAGCCCTAAAATTGTGTAAGGTCCCAAAACTTTCCATTTGTAACGGCGAATTGCTCAAAAGCTAAAAATAATAAGCCTTTTTTTAATAGATAATGGAGGTGGCTTATGCAAAGTGCCTTGACAATGTTTAGTTGATTTCTACTTTCCTTTTCCTAACCAGTGGCATTGAAAAATGCAGGGAGGATTTCACAGCATTTGCGGAAGTGTGCTTTAGGGAGTTTGGAGACAGGGTTTCATACTGGACAACGATAGATGAACCTAATGTCAGCGCACTAGGATCTTACGACAATGCACTATTTGCCCCGGGACGTTGCTCCAACCCATTTGGAATAACAAATTGTACAGTGGGAAACTCAACTGTGGAACCATACATAGCAGCTCATAACATGATACTGGCTCATGCATCAACTACCAGACTTTACGGAGAAAAATATCGAGTGAGTCATCTTGTGTCCAAAACTAAAAGTGAAGCCTTTTTCCGACATGTTTACTCTGTTTTCTTTAAGGAATAAACTATTAACCTTTCTGTTTTAATCTAAGATTCATTAATCATTATCTGGTTAATATTTGTGAAGAAAGTACTGGTTCACTATACACAGTTTTCAGTGTCTCCATGATTACAATTTGTGTGTGCAAGATTATTATGTTCTAGGCAGTTTCGACACATTAATCTCATGGACAATAAAAAGACTGCTCTTTTAATTCTGTTTCTTGATGTATTTTCACATGCTAACTTTTATGTGTACATAAAAATACTCTTGCAAGTAGGCTGCCCAAAAGGGAGGTGTTGGCATAAATGTTTACTCTTCTTGGAGTTATCCTATGACGAACTCTGATGTGGATGTGGAAGCAGCTAAAAGATACTTAGACTTCGTGTTCGGATGGTAACATTATTTGGACTCTTATGTTTATTTCCATGTTCTAGAGAGTTCACAATAAGTATGCAGCTAACCAACTTGTGATGCTTTTCTAGGATACTAGAGCCCTTGGTGTCTGGAGATTACCCAGATGTGATGAGGAAAAATGTTGGGTCTCGACTTCCATCGTTCACAAAGTCCCAGTCTCAAGTTGTCAAGGGAGCTGTTGATTTCATAGGAATAAACCACTACTATTCCATGTATGTTAATGACCGTCCTTTAGACAAAGGCACTCGTGACTATTCAGCAGACATGTCTCTTTACCAAAGAGGTAAAAAATATATGCATTCTTCATTAATTGTAGTCAGAAGGAGTGGGCAATGCAATTCATTTATCTCGTATAATATAATGATGAATGTGCTTTTTTTCTAAAAAGCACACTATTTATGTATATATTGACCCAAATAATTTGTTGCCACTCCCGAAAATACACACGAATTTGAGTAACCCATTGGCCGAGTGCTAACATAATATTTGTTATTGTGATGCAGCTTCTAAAACAATCCCAGGAAGTAGCAAGGTAATATTTTCAACAATGCTTGTTAGAGAAACCACTAGCCTGAACTATTTTTAGACATGATTTCTTCATATTACAACTAATCTAACAAGATACTAAAAATATATAACTACACTTAGAGCTCAAATTATTTAGCAAGATATTGTCCACCTTATGAGTTGTTATAAATATATACAATATTCTCTTTTGATTGCAGAATGTCCCAGCATCTTCTCAAAGTGACCCGGAAGGATTGCAATATGTGCTGCAGTACCTTACGAAAGCCTATGGGAACCTTCCTATCTATGTGCAAGAGAATGGCAAGTCGATCTAGTCTGGTTGCAACGATCTCCAATTTTCTGTTCTACAGATCTAGATAAAATTTATGTCATAGTGTTCATGCAGACATCACAGCTTCTAATTCATTCTAATTTCACTAATATATTCTGCCTTGCCATTCATCTCCGCAGGTGTTGCATCTAATGACACTCTCGATGACACCGAAAGGATCGAATACTTGAAGAGCTACATGGGTAGCACACTGAAGGCAGTAAGGTCAGCCATTAAACAAAAGTCACCAAGAATGTAGTTCAAGTCAACAGCACTGCCTTTCCGCAAAATGTCCAGGATTCAGACATTTTTATCCTGACGTAGTTTTGCCCTTCAGGAATGGAGCAAACGTAAAAGGCTACTTTGTCTGGTCCTTCCTAGACGTCTTCGAGTTCTTTGCAGGGGCCAAGTCACGGTACGGCCTGTACCGTGTCGATTTTAACGATGAGGCGCTGCCACGACAAGCGAAGCTCTCTGCTCGATGGTACTCTGGCTTCCTGAAGAACAATGACACCTATGTTCGGAACGAGCTCGAAAGTACAGGATCGCATGCTCTGCAATGAGCCGTAAAACAGATGGTGGAAATGTCGAGTCATCCTATGTAAATAAACGTTTCATGTAAATATAGTGGTTTATTACATATACATCATGTAGTACCTTATGTACCTACAAGAGTGGTTGGCAGTGCCCTACGCATGGCCATGTCTCATGATGGAGGTTTAGGTGTGTTGTAACAGGTTTTGCTCGGTTTTTCCGCTAATTAACCGGACAATACTCTTCAGCTTCTATCAATAGATTGAGAGGTGGTGCAAAACCCGCAGCGATCAGCGGCGGCCATACATGCACTGGTGCTGAATTTTACTCGAGTGGCTGGGAAGGGAACTCCTATTCCTAGGAAGAACATATGGCCACCAGTCTTACCCTGCAACTACTACTGAATGTGGACGCCTCTTTCATCGAGGGCTCCCACTCCGGGTCATGCGAAGCAATTGTTAGAGATCACAGAGGTTACTTCATTACTGGTTCTACCTCACAAATTGAACATGTAGCAGATGTTGTGTCTGCAGAAGCTGCGGCACTTCATGAAGGATTGAGGCTACTCCAAACCCTGGGATGCAACAACGTATAAGTGATTATGGACAATATCATTGTGGTCTAAGCTCTACGTCTCAATGAGGGTTACTCTATGGTGGCAGCTCCGTTGCTTGATGATTGCAGAGACTTAATACTAGAATTCGGGAAGGCTACTATTGAGCATTGTAATCAATAGAGAATCTAATGCAGTGGCTCACGTGCTAGCAGAGTGGGGCCGTGCGAACAATCCAACTGTTTGGATGGATGCACCTCCGAGTTATATTGTTAAACTTTTAGCAGACGATGATAGTGTTATTTGAGTTTAATATAGAGCTAGCCATGAAGGTCTTTCCGTCAAAAAAAAAACTGCCTGCCATATATGTTTTACACAGTGATTTTCATGACTTTGGCGCACACTAACTCGCCGTCCTGGGCTTTGGCCCATATAGTTTTTTCTTTATAAGAATTCAAAAAATACGGGGGGAGGAGATTCGGACTTGAGACATCAAGGTTCAGTACTACAAGTGCTAACCACTGCGCCACGTTACTTTATTCCGTTGTCTTTCATCTTCTTCCGTCCTTTATGTCAAATGTAATGTGTATGCTTTTCTTTTATGTTTTTTGTTGTCTTTGACAGTATTTTCTTTGACCTTTTTTTTCATTTTTTCATTTCTTTGTTCACAAAATTTTCTTCAAGTTACTGAACTTTTTCAGTTATAGTGTTTTTTTTTCAAAATTCATGAATTTTTTCACAATTTGCGTAAACTTTTTAATCAAAATCCATGAACTTTTTAAAATTCATGATCTACTGTCAAAATCCGGTGAGCTTTTTCGAATTCCTGATTTTTTTAAAAAAATTGGTGACCTTTTTTTCAAGTTAATGGATGTTTTTGTGAAAATCCGTGATTTTTTTAAAAGTGATGAACTTTTTTCAAGCGTTGAACTTTTTAAAAGCTACGAATATTTTTTCAAATTTGTGAACTTTTCAAATCCGGGTCAGCCCATGTGGCGTGCATAGAGCGAGCCTCGTTCGCTACTTCGCGTGGACTTGGCCGGTTGTGTCCTTAGCTCCACTCACTACAACGACAATTTCCATTTTCTCGTTCATTCATTTTTCTCTTTTTTGAACTTTATTTTTCTTTTTGAAACCTGTTTCCAAATTTGAAATACTGTTTGGAATACTAAAAATTTCTTTGTGTTCAAATATTGTTTAGAATTTTATAAAATGGTCTGGAGTTAAAAAATAACCCTGTTTTCAAAAAAATTATTCAAAATTTTAAGAAATGTTTGTATTTCAAAAAAGTGGATATTTTATTAAAAAAATATGTGGTTTAAAATTTGTTTTCACCATCAATTGTTGAGAATTTGTTAACAAATTTTTGATACACAATTAAAAAATCCAAAATTGTTGGCAAATTTCAAGAAATGGTTATGATATAAGAATATGTTCATGTTGATTGATAATGACGGAAATTGCAACTAACCGAAGCATTGAAATTAGGAAAAATTTACATGTCCACATATGCACCCGTCTGGTCTAGTCTAACGCATTCCTCTCAACTGGTGGTTTTTCCGGACTACGGATAAATGGCCCCAACTTCTTCAGCAGCTTGGCATGGACATATGCGGCATCAATGCAAGGTTTGAACAACTTCCAAAACAATTTGCATGTTGCGACACGTCCGGCCATTTATCAGCCTTTTTACCAAACTCCAGAAAATGCAAAATTTGTCGAAAACCAAAACAACTTGGCATATTACCTTAAATTTTTCATACAAACCACTGGAAAAAGGGTCATTTAAAGGATGTCAAAAAGTAGTGTGCTCTCAGACAGAGCCTTGTGGCCTACTAGGACACTCTACGTGAACATGGTATTTTTTTCTACACAAATAAAAATATATTCAGAGAAGTTAAAAATAGTTTTAAATTTTTGTTCATATTTTCTATTTTGTTCCATTTTTTCTGTTTTTAAAAAAATATTTTTGTTCAGAATCTTATATGCTATTCTTAAAAATGTTTGTGTTTTGATATCTAGGAAATTTTGAAAGACACAAACATTTATTTGAAATTTTTGTACAATATTTTAAAATGCAAATATTTGTATTTTATGAATAAAAGTTAAAAAAAGGCGAATGTTTTTGAAATTTTGGACAAATTTTATAAGGTTGAGCATTTTTAAAAAGAAAATAGAAACGTAAAGGGAAAACAAAAAAACAAAGAAGTAATAAAAAAGGAAAAGTGGGGAAAAGACCAGTCGCTATAGTAACCCTGTCGCTGAGGGCTAGTTCTAGTAGTCTGCGTTTTTGTAATTAGACATTGAAGCTTATCAGCTCATGTGCCTAACGACTAGTGGTCAGCTGTGTGAGTTACATGGTTCGATCCCTCGCACTGTCATTTCTTTTTCGATAAAGTATAGAAATTTTTGTTCAGCGTGCATTTAAAAAAAATCATCATATATTTTTAAAAATCTTCAGTGTGTATTTGAATAAAGTTCACCGTATACTAAGAAAATATTCAGTATGTCTTTTAAATTACTTTTTTAAAAATTGCTCAGCTTTCAAAATTAGTTCACAATTTTAAAAATTGTTCACATTTAAGAAAAGAATATTCGATTCTTTACCATTTCGAAACATTGTTCGCATTTTCAAGAAATTTTGTTCATATTTGTTTCCAAGAAATATTGAAAATGTAAAAAAACAAAGTTGTTGCTTTATTTAGTACTTTAAGTTTAGCGCTGTGTTTAATCCGTCCGTAGTTTTCACGAATGCAGCGAATTGGGCTGGCCCATTCGTACACGTATTAATCCGTATACGCCAGATGACCCATCATACATATGAAATGCGTATAATTTGTCAGAGGTCTATATTGCCCTTTATACGCTTTGTGAGGGGGGGGGGGTGCCAAAGCGGAGCTCGATTTGATATGTAAGGTTGGATCGTATAGTATTTTTTTCCGAAGGATTTCTTCTCTCTACATTTAATCCAGCATGTTTGTATTTGTACTTTTTGGGATCTTACAAACCAAACAGACCCTACCAAAACTATTGTTGGAAGTATCTTAACTCCATCACTTGTTTATAAGAAATTGACGGATGACGAAGATCCTCGGAATGCATATTTGAGCCTTATGAGGTCTCTAGGAACCCATGGGCAGAGGTGATTGTGAAGAGGGCGTGCCAGTAAGAACAATCTTCTTCGTGTTGAAGTCTACTATCAGCAAATATACATAACCTTCAATATCTAGCAAAACAAAAACTATGTGACTGAATTCCCTCTGAAAATTAGCAAGGTAATACAAAAATAAACAAGAAAACAGTTCCTCTATTTTATTATTTGGGTCCCGTCTACACAATATCTTGTACCATTGTAGATTTGCTTGAAAACAAATCTGCATTAACAGTGGCCAATAGATTTGAACCTTTACATGGTTGTGTGCATCCATGATGTAGAGGCGGGGTTAACCCGTTTTCGAAGAAAGATTTGAACCTTTACACCATAAAAAATCCTTTACTTTCCTCCTTAATTAAGCAATGGAAATATTCTAAATCGCCCGACCGGCCACGTTCTCCACCGGCCGCCTCGCACGTGTGTCCTCCACCTCTCCTAGCGCATGACACATAGACAGGGGCCCACATTGGGGAGGACGGCCTACAAGGGAGGCAGGCCAAGGTGGGGAGTGACAGAGGCCACTGATGTCGAGTGCCAAAGTTGCACGAGTGAGGGGAGTCGTGGTTGTGCGAGCTGCTGGATCTATCGTGATGCCGATACGCCCGTGTGAAGGAGGGCGTAGGCACCACCGCGGGGTACTACTACTGATACATCTCCAACATATATATAATTTTTTGTTGTTCTACCCTAGAAGGTTCGAGAGAAGACCTGAAGAGTCACGAGGGAGCGACAAGCTCGGGAGGCGCGCCCCCAGGCTTGTGGGCCCTCATGGAACCTCTTGACCTAATTCCACCTCTATAAATTCTAAAATATTCCCCTGTCATCAGAGAGCCACTCGAAATACTTTTTTCGTCGTCGCAAGTTTCTGTTCTTGAGATATCCAATATGGAGGCCTTCCCGGTATTCTGCCGGAGGGGGAATCGGCCATGGAGGAGCTCTAGATCAACCTTGTTGCCCTTCCGATGGTTCTCCTACTGGATTGATAACCTTGGTTCTTAACTGAGGGAAATACTTATCTCTACTATATTATATCATCCTCTCCTCTTCGAGAAAATCCCAACGCAGCTCACAAGTAGCAACTACCACCCAGATCCGTAGCTTGGATTGGTGCCACACATTGTTGGGACCGACAAGTGTAGATGCTACATAGACGAGGAGGATGTTGTAGACGCCGGATGACGGTGCTGCGATGAGATGGTGGAGGTGCTGGAACCGCCCAAGGGAGGCGTTGGACATGGCAGAGGTGCTGGAACCTCCATATGATGGTGATCGGATTGCTTGGAGCGATGCTACGATGACATAGCAGCGGTGTTCCAGCCGGC